TATTTTATTTTTAATACCCGATTTTTCGGGTGGTTTCCAGCACCCATGGTCACGGTGGACTGAGGTGACTGACGTCCCGATGTCAAAGTTAACACGGAGTACCTTCAGCTTTTTAATTATTGTCTTTGGTCCGATCTACGCAAAATGAACTAACTGTGTTTTGAAGTCTTACAGCGGTATGCTTGGGTTTAGTTTTAATTTTATTAATTATAGGTTCCCAAGCAGGTGGTAGTACCCAGCCTCCTTCTCTATAGAAATTAGGTCGGGACGTCAGTCACCTCAGTCCCCCGTGACCATGGGTGCTGGAAAGCACCCGAAACGTCGGGTGTTAAAAATAAAAATAAAATAAATAAAACGCGATAAAATCCGTAAAAGTAGTTTTAATCAATGTGAGGTGTTCGCGTAAATATAAGAAATCATTATGTATTACACCTAATTTTTCCATTTTTTCATTTTCCCCTGTTAGAGTATCAATTTATCATCAGGTGAGCATCACTCTCGTTTAAAGTAAAAAAAGTAAAGTTACAGCCTATATACGACTCCCACTGCTGGGCACAGGCCTCCTCTCATTTCTGAGAGGGTTTTAGGGCAGGGAATAGTCCGCGGCGCTGCCCCAATGCGTGTTGGCGAACTTTCACATGTCTTTGAAATATTTTTTTCTTATTTCTCAGACATGCAGGTTTCCTCACCGCCGAGCACGTGGTAAATAAGCACTTAAAATTGCAAATAACAATTTCATTGGTGCCGGCGGGGATCGAACCCGGTTTGCTCGCGTATTGTGAAATTTACAGCGAGCGCTAACCATCTGAGCTACCACGGCTCCACTCTCGTTTACCACCTTTTATATAAAAAGTCACTCTATAGCAGCACTGATGAATCTTAAATATTGTTAATTGTTAATTTATTCACAGCCATTACAAAGAGTTCCGTTTCCGAAGCATCACCAAAAATGGAATGAGTTTAAAATGACATAACCGCGTATAAACTTGTCCTCCATATTACATATGCATATGTGACGTAACGACTCGCTTGAAAGGCTCTAAGTTTCCACAGAAACATCATTAGCCATTATAAAAATAGACTTCACGCGTAATTTTATATCTAGTATAAAAAAGAAATAAGAATAAAAGTAAGTAGTTTTATGATCTGTGGATGCGTCTGACTGTCCAGGTTATGCATTTATAGAACGAGCTCCTACGACACGTGAATATAATATAAGAACTTTCTGTTGCTTTTTTAAATTCATAAAATGTTTTAAAAGATGAAGGTGGCCCGGGTTAACTATGACTTCAGGATATTCACAACAACCTTATAGCTTAGCACCAGCCAATAGTTGTACAGTTTTGTTTAAAGATTCTAAGATATAATGGATGAGACGATCCGACGCAATTTCCCGAAGTCGGTTTAGCCGAGTAGGATTCATCGAACGACGTCTTGGCACACAATACATAATAGTACATCAGGTACCCTTGGGCAAAGTTGGAGTTACATAATCGGATATTTTGTCTGAATCTGAATCACAGTGACCAGGATTAAGAAAGGAATACTTCGGCGGTTTGGTTATGTACCACGAAAGAATGAGGAAAGAGTGACAAAGTAAACTTATGTTACAGAAGTGAACACCAAAGTCGGGAAGGGACGCCCTAGGCGAAAGTTTATCGACCAAATTATCGATATATTGAAAATGGGCCAGATTAAGAGTACCCTTAACTGCCGAGCATGTATAGGAGGCGAGAAAGGTGTGTCAGGATCGTGCCAAATGGAAGTCTGTAGTCTCTGCCTATTCCTCTGGGTGACAGGCGTGAGTGTTTATGTACGTATGTATCTATGTATATTTTGTGACCAGTATATATACTCGTCAACAACTTCTAGCGTAGTGTTTTCAACAACTAACGCTATAGATGTAACTAACTATTGAAATGATAGAATTAGAAATTATTATATCCGAGTAGAACTAGAGGAACCGACAAAGGATATCCTACGGGGTTTAAAGGGTTCATAAAGGGATATTAGTGAGCTGAAGTGGCAATGGTCCGGACACATAGTTCGAAGAACCTACATACAACCGGCAAGCCTCGGCCATTGTTACCTTAGTTGTAAGGTGTTATAATAAAGAAAAAATAAATACATGTAGGGCGACCCCCCACTAAATAATAGTGATGACCTAGCACGAGATGCAGCAATGCAAAGTGATTTGTGACATTCCTTGGGGAGGCCTATGTTCAGCAGTGGGCACGTGAGGGAAATGATGATGATAATGTCTATCGAAGTTACATTGACTAAGTGCTTGATCAGTGCTTATAAATTACAATTAACAATTTCTGCGGAATGTTTGCTATGTACTATAAATTAATGAAATCCACTACAAATTGATATATAACATTCAATTGTCTGTCTGTATACTGGTATACATTACTGCATTACGCGAGGTAATTTAAACTCGCCTGCTCTATGTCCTCATACGTCAGATAAAACCGCAAGGCAATTTGACAGTTGCTCTAGAGTGAACAAACTAATAAATCGACACACATATATTGTAAAAAGTATGACAATTTGTCCAAGGATATTATATTTGTAAATATGGCGGTAAAAATTTAGAATCGTTAGGCTGGAGGTGGAGAGGGTTGAGAGGGGAGTGTACCCTACAGCCCGACACCACTCCCATGAAAAGGTTGCTCACCTGATGGTAAGTGATTACCACCGCCCATGAACAACTGCAACACCAGGGGAATTACAGATGCGTTGCCCGCCTTTTAAAAAGGCGTATGCTCTTTTTTTGAAAGTCCCTAGGTCATATCGGTCCGGAAAAATCTCTATTGGTAGTCGATTCCACAAGGAAGTTGTTCTAGGAAGAAAACTTCTTTTAAACCGCAGGGTGGTGGACCGCCAGTCAGCTGGTGAACCTCAAGGTACCGCATTAGCTGGCTGTTAATAATAGATTCCATTACTTTAGAGAACAAGGAGGTGATGGCGATAGGCCAATAGTTGGACGGATCAGAGCGATTACCTTTTTTAGGGATCGGGTGCACGAGGACTGTCTTCCATGATTTCGGGACTACGCCGAGGGAGTATGAGTACCGGAAAAGACGCGTTAAAACCGGTGCCAACTCCGGAACACACGTCTTCAGCACAATAGGAGGGACGTCATCCGGCCCACTCGACTTGTTGACATCCAGGGAGAGGAGTGCTCTGCACACTGAGCGATGGGTAAACAGGACATTCTACATGGAGCACTCACTCCGGGGGATGGTCGGCGGTATGTTCCCCCGCCATCAAGAGTCGAGTTGGACGCAAAGAGAGGGCCCATCAGATCGCCTTTGTCCTTTGCGGCATGGGCCAGTGAGTCGTCCTCCCTGTGCAGAGATGGGAGAGATGGCTGACAGAAGTTACCTTGGACAGCATTAGCGAGAGACTAGAATGCACGTGTTCCCGAAGGAAGACGAACTAGTTTCCCGCCAATTCTGCCGATGTGCCTTGACAATGACACTTTTGAAGGACCTGGAGGCAGAATTGTACTTCTTTTTAAGAGTGCTGGTATTTGCATCCCGAGACGTATATGCGCGAGCCCAGGCCTGGTAGCACTCTTGCTTATGACGTAGAGCAATTTTTTTAGGAGTGACCAAACCATGGTTGGGTTCTGCCTCCGATAGGTACTACAGATGATGGAATAAAAAGTTCCATTCCCTGTAATAGCACATCAGCGACAGAATCAGCAATAACGCTGGGATCATTCCTCATGAAGCAAACCCGCCTACAAGGGTAGGATGCAAAAAAAATCGCATCCCGTCCCAATCTGCTGACCTATAATGCCAAACACGGCGGCAACCTGTAGTACGCAACCGCGATAGGAGCGTGAGTGGCACCGTACTCCGGATCAGACAATGGTCCGAGGAGCCAAGAGGGGCATCGATGGAGACTTGATATCAGTCCGGATGAGCGGTCAGAGAAGGTCCAACAGGGAAGGTGCATGGTCTTCCACATCTGGGATCCGCACAGGCGAGGTTACCAGTTGTGTCAGACCATAGCATAGCATAGTGCCAAAGCAAAGTCATAAACAGATCTACCTGCATGATAAGTTAAACGAGAACCAAGCCATTCAGCGTGGCAGGCCTTTGACTTATTGCTCCGTTTGCCCCGAGCAGGTTTAGTCTCGAGCGGAATTCTGCCGACAGAATACGTGGGTCAGCCTGATCACTCAGGAGTGGAGTAGCTTGGCCGTGAATGCTCAGCGAGGGATTCTCCAGGGGTACTGGTACCTTCCTGGGGTGCTCTTGCATATAATTCCGCTACCATGTTGATGGGGGATTAGATCTCCAGCCACCTGCACTCACCGGACGAAACGCAGAAGTAAAGCCTCTACTTCACGCTGGTCTTCTGTGAGTTCGTGGTACCACCCCGGTTTGAGCCGGCCCATGAGTGCAACAGCAAAGGCTGCCGCGTGGCTCTACCATTGTTAATAATTGTTATAATCGGGGCATCAATGCTCTAATTTTTTTATAGATAAGTACAATAGTGTGTTCGGTGAGGGTTCGTAGCGATTGTCGCTTTATTATCGCAATCTGTGTGACGGATGTTACTTACCGCCGCAACGACAGAGTCTTGTGGTACAAGGCTGTCAAGCACGAGGCCAACCGAAAGTGATTTGGTGATGAAGTGGGTGACAAACGAACACACAGTTCACCTGATGGTAAGTGGTTGCTGTGGACTATAGACATCTATCCTCGATTACGTATCAAAAGGCTGATACTTTGACACCCGTAAGGACTATGCTGGAATGCCTCGTTTCCAGCAGCGTTAAGCTGCTGTTTTACGCTTATATTCTGTAAAAGCGTGGTCCTTACCCGGTTCAGCCGACTCATTCCAGCTACAACTATACTAATATAGCTGCAGCATGGCTATACCACGTAAATACTGACAAAGTAAATTTGAGCCCATGTTCTAACGCATGTTGCGTATTACTTCAATCAATGACTTGTATAAAAAATCCTTCAGCTACTCACTTCTGCATGACCCCCGCGTCGATCTCATGCTGGTGCTTAAGCTGCTGGTATTCCTGGAACAGCCTCTCTGAGACGCTTCGTAGCTTGGCGAGCTCGCGCTCCCTCTCCGACAGCTCAGCCTCCAGGTGTTTCTTCTCCTCCGCGAGGATGTTGAAACGACGTTGAAGATCATCGTGTTCCCGTTTCGCTGCCAAATAAAGTTTCATGTTATTTTTCAGGAAGCAAAAATATTATATTTTTTGATATACTTAATCTATAATACACCACATAAATAAAATTTAAGTGTGTTTTTTGCCCGCTATTAAGGCTTCCGTCTAGCTTTGCTGTTTTACATTCCCAGCCGTTAGAGGGGGCGCTCTCCCCCGTGCATAAATACGTTCGAGATCACAGGTGAAGGTTGCTCTACTTCATTAAATATATAACGTATTAATTTACTTTTGTCGTGGTAATATAATTTTTTACCCTTTTATATTTTATAAATGTCGTTTTTAGTAATGCTTATACGGGGTGTAGGTTTAAAAAGGGTATATACAACAAAATAGGGCAAATAAAAACTGCCTATTCATACAAATTTCGCCTCTACCTTGTACATTTTGTACTTTACTACCACTTTTACTACTATTTTTACTGACACAAGGATATTTCTTCTTTTTTCTATCCATCTTTTTCCGTTTTTTTTTTTTTTTTTGGTAATAAATTGAAATTCTCCAAATATAAAAGTCCAAGTCAATTAATCTAATACTAATATAAACACTAATACACTAAAAACTAGAACTAATATGACAATTAAATAAAAATAATATATGTTTAAGAAGAGCAACTTTCACGATATGCTCCGCTCAGTCCATAAGAGCTGCACGAGGGAAAGAGATTAACCGTGTGAGCGAGAGGTAAAGTAACGTTGAGCAACACTACACGAGTCTGAACGCCGATAAATCGCAGCGGAACTGAGAGAATTTTCAGGCGTTTCTGCTTTATAAATGGAATATAGGTAAAAAGTACGAAAGTATTATTTTTTTTAATTTTATTTATTTCTAATTCACTTGAAAATAGTTCTATTTTATGTGGTTTTAAGTACGACTTTGCTACATTTATACTTCTAATAGACAAAAATAGATATTTGCAGTAAAAAAATCATGAAATTACAACTTTTTAAGCCTTTATTAAAAAGTGACCAGATCAGATTATTGTAGACAATACGTATGTAAATAAATGTGATCTGAATACTTTTCCTGATATTGTTATAGTTTGTACATAGCAGAGGCTTTAATAAGACCTTTTAGGCATGTAACCTAAACATAGGCATGTTTAACGCCTAATAGAGCTGTAAATTTAAACACCAAAATAAAATTAAAAAACAGTTTCGAAAGTATCAAATCCTACACTTTAAATAAATGTAAAATATGTTTCACTTTTTCTTTTTAAATACTATAAAAATATTTGTTTTGCTGTAAATTTTGCGAGAACACTAATTTTTACAAGACTAAGGCCTTAAGATTTGAATAACAGTTTTTAATATTTTTGTTTGTCCGTACAGTCTGTTCGGACGGAACCGATTGTAATTTGTAATGAAACTTCATAAGCGGATAGCGAGCAATGGCAGTAGGGATCTAGTCTATATTTTATCTGAAAGACTTGGACATTTTAAAAAATACGAATAATTTTTATACGTGGTAGAGCCACGCTGCAGTAATACTCGTATTATGGTTATAGCATGAATGGGTCGGCTCGACTGTTGCTAAGAAATAAAACGAAATTTTTTAAAATCTGTTTGTGTCCGTCTGTCTGTCTATCCTCGGAATAGCTGAACCGGTTGCCATGAAACTAATATATATATATATATATATATATACAAAAAAACTGACTGCCTTGTTGGTATAGTGGTTGTAGTAGTGCGACTGCTGATCGTGAGGTCCTGAGTTTAAATCCCGGGTCGGGCCAAAAAATTAATTATTGAGTTTTTACGTCAAGAAATTCTCAGTAGTTGCCCGGAGGAAGTTGGCGGTGTCTCACCCCCGTGCCTCGAAAAGCACGTAAAGCCGTCGGTCCTGCGCCTGATCTCTCTCCGGTCGTGTCGGTTTACCGTCCCATCGGATTATGAGAGTGAGGGAAGAGAGAGTACACCTGTGCTTGCGCATACACTTGGGCACTATAATCCTGTCCTGCGCCGATGGCTAGTGTCCGTTGAGGCTGGCAGCCGTGGCCGGAATTCGGTCTGGAGGACATTATTATATACAAATATATTCACAAAATACTATATACACAAGACTTGTCTTTGATTCTTATTATAATTCATTAGAATTGTGCAGACAAGCAACACTACAAGTATTTCTACAAAATACATCACACTGTTTTATACAATTATCAGCTTATGAAGCCAACATGATAACAATCGCTGCTTTGGTTATGTTTCCTCGCATAAGCGGTTCCCGCACAATACTGCGGCAACCAGGGTAATATTGCGCAGGGTGTATGATGTATATATGAGATATAAATAAGCTTTTAGATATAGAAGAGACGATAAGACGATGAAATAGAGGATACCAGGGCTGAGTTCGCCATAAAGGAACTATTAGTATGCCCTTCGCCCGATAAACAACAATTTTTCTCAAAGTTTTTAATATAACTGTAAATGAAAGGAATGCATAAAAACATTCCGTTCAGATAATAGAAAATGGGTTAATAACATAATCATCTGGATATCTATGTAACAAAACGAATTTATGACATTTAGCGTTAATTCTACTTGCGAACATGTCATTTTCTGGTTCACCGAATCTAATAACAACTTTATTAAACGCTTCTGTTTCTAACTCCCACTATATATCAGGATTGATCCGCCTTGATTCTGAATCTGCTTATATATTGGCTGAAGATTTTACATAGTATGCGACTGAAACTATCAAGATATTTGATTTATTTACGAACCTTTTTGCCAAATATGTCTAGTCACGCCCGTTAAATGGGGATATTGAATACCGCCCGTTATATTGATATAGCTTATCGCGTTTAAGTTGTCAATACGGAGATGTATTTGACTGTGTGATAGATCTTTATCGAAAACTTTAAGTGCAAAAAAGCTGCTAGAAACTCCAAATAAGTAGAGTGGTGATTTCGCTCAATTTCGGATCACTGATCACAGGCTTTCTCATCTCCGCATGCTGCACCCCGATGTTGAGGCGTCAGAAAACAACTCAAGACTGTGTTTGTCATCGTATATCCTATGCACGGATCTATCTATAGAATTTAACCACCATAAAAATCGTCTTGCAAATATATGGGTGGTATATATTTAGTGTAGTTTGTCTGTTTGTTTAGGGGGTGGTTTAAGAATATCCACTACCCCATATCTTCCCGTGGGTGTCGTAAGAGGCGACAGAGGGAAATTGGAGCAGGTGATGGGCGGCAGCATTTTGGTAACAACCCAATAAAAAACTGCGGTTGAGAACCTCTCGCTAAGCGTGTCAACTATCGCAAAATCCTCACTATGAGGCAATCTGTGAGGTAGTGGGGTAGACTCCTACAGTTTGTAGGCAATTATGGCGTAGGTATTGGATTACGGAAATCATCCATTATACAACATGTAACAAAAACCCTGTGGTTCCCGTTTAGTGCGTTATCAGAATCAGTATTCAAACGTATATAAAACAAATTGTATGTGGTTTTAATACGTCTGCCACGGAATAAACAATAGTACTACCTCTGCATCGTCCGGGGAGCAATAGGATTGTCAAAGACCCCGCTTTACCGATGCGCGTATCAATTAGAGGTTAAAAAAACACGTAAAATTTGCAAATTTTTTTTAATTTATTTATCAGATCAAATAAATTACATTCAGATATAGGTTTAAATAACATCTAAAAACCACAGAGGTTTGCCTTGACGCTAAATAATAAAATTTAAGTCAGCGAACTATGTACAAAACACAGTCTACTCGTAAGTCAGTAGTTAGGTATATGAGTAAGTAGGCATAGCAAGAATATAAAGACTAAAAAGGTAAGTTAACAACTTAAAGTCAGAAATAGCAAGGATATAGTAGTAATTATAATAAAATAATTTTTTTTAATATAATTAAAGGTCATTTTCTGAAAAAAATAATTACATAAGTTTGAATACTGATTCTTATAACGCATACATACATAAACACTCACGCTTTTCACCCAGAAGGGTAGGCAGAGACTACAGACTTCCATTTGCCACGATCCTGACACACCTTTCTCGCCTCCTTCACATCCATACACCTACGCATACATGCTCGTCGGTTAAGGGTACTCCTAATTTGGCCCGTTTTCAATAAATCGCCAATTTGGTCGATAAATTTTCGCCTAGGACGTCCCTTTCCGACTCTGCCATTCACTTCTGCACCATAAATTTTCTTTGTCACTCTTTCCTCATTCATTCTTTTCACATGACCAAACCACCGAAGCATTCCTTTCTTAATCCTGGTCACAACATCATCTTGCATACCACACTCTTCTCTTATTACACAATTTCTTACCTTGTCATTCAGATTCAGCCCTAACATCCTCCTTAACGACCGCATTTCTACTGCGTTCATTCTACTCTCGTGCTTCTTCTGCCACACCCAACTTTCACTACCATACGTTAAAGTAGGGACCAACACAGCATTGTCAATTGCCATATGTTCCTTTTTCGACACATTTTGACTCTTCACAATAGAGTGTAGGGCCCCATTTATTCTATTTCCTGCATTCACTCGTCGTTCTATATTCTTATCACATCTCCCATCCCTGCTAAATACGCAACCCAGATATACAAACTCATCTACTTGCTCGATCAACTCCCCTTCTATTCTTATTTCACATATCGTCTTACTTTCTTCTCTTTCAAAAACCATAACTTTCGTCTTACTTGCGTTCACTTTCATACCCCTTTCTTTTAATGATCTGTTCATTAATGTAACCATCATTTGCAGCTCGGCCGCCGACGACGCAAGAATAACTTGATCATCGGCGTACAAAAGGCATTTGACGGTTAACTCACCCATTCTTAATCCGCATTCTTCAACTTTCAAATTTTGCAAACAACTGTCCATAAATAGGTTGAACAGCCACGGGGAAGCCACACAGCCCTGTCTGACACCTTTATGGATACCAAACCGGTACGAGTAGACCCCGTTGATCCTAACACAAGCACTAGAGTCCCTATAAAGCGACTCCAATGCCTGTATCAAGCCAGCGTTCAA